ATATAGCTCTACATATTGTCCTCTTACCGTCAAGCCACCGTGGTTCAGATGAAAGAAGCTTGATTAAAATAAAATATGAATATGCTAATCTGACTTTCTCACAGCCTGAGAGCAGCACAAGAGTCCTCTGGGTTTAATTGCCCTGGGTCGGGCCTATCAGGCTACAGAGCCTACGTGTGGAGGCAAACCGAATAAAGAAGAAATAACAGAATATTTGTTGAGAGCACACTGTCATTCTGAATAATTAATTCACTCAGCTGCCTTTCAAGGTATTTTTTCTCCTCAGAAACTTCACCATTAATGTCTCCTTGCATACTCTATGTCCAGATTTCACTAGAAGTGGTGTACAATTAGAGCCTAGGATTACAGCCCTAAATTAACATACTGTAATTCAAGAATATTTATCTTAATTTATCAAGTTTTGTTTTGCTTTTATGTACATTTGTCATCATTTTGCTTGTAAATACATTTACTTTCTAGAGGGACTGTTTCAGCTTGCTGTTGAGGTCACTGGATCAGATATATTCACACGATTGTGTTTTCTTAAGACAGTAAGAGCTTCAGTTTGTTGGTGATAATGTTTGTTTGTGTGACTGTCTTATTGAGAAAAGGTTGTATACATTCAGCCTTTAAATATGTATCAGACATGGCTGTGCTATCTCTCAGCCCAACATAAATCTTTTCTCCTGTGGGTGTCACTTGTTCTCTTCAATAGAGAACCGCAGTGACGCGTTGTAAAACCCGGAAGTAAGTTAGCATTTTTAGCACTTCCGGTTCCTTCCTCAAAAAGCAATGCATTTTTTCCATAGGGTTTTGGAAAATAGCTCGAAATAAGGTCTGTGGTTGACACAAATTTAAGAGATAAATCACGTTTTGTTCTACAACATTAAATACATCAGCAGTGACCCCACTGGGGATTTTTGAAGAGTTTACGTGTCTGAAAAACGATGGTTGTTACCGAGTGGCTGAATAGGACTACAGAAATTGTCGAGGCCGTTTTACGTCATTACGCCAAACACGTAAACACTCCCGCTAACTTTGTTTTCCCCTGTGTTCTTCTTGAAAGCAAGTACCTGCCTATCTTTACTATCTGTATATCTATATCTGACCATTAGAATCTGTATTTTTGAAATTGTCGTTTTTAACACCGTAGTTTTACAAATTATAGAATAATTAATTACCAGTGTTTTCCAATTTTACTCGGCAGTTCGTTTCGTTAGCTAACGTTAGCTAAAGCTAGCGCTACTAGTTAGCTACGCAATGGTTTGTTGCTTTGCTCCGGGTTGCAGCCACAGGTCTTCGCATGAAACGTGCTTGTTCTATCGTTTCCCGGCCAATGTTTTCCAAAGGAGAGTCTGGATTCGTGTCATGAGGTAAGCTGACGTTACATTTTTGTCCATGTCACGGTGAAATGTAAATNCTCTGCCAGAAGCCTTCAGAAATTGACTTTTTATCCACTTTAAAGCAACCATGTTTTAGAATCTTTGTGATTTGAGCTCATTAGAACCGTCTAGATCTTAAGTTAAAGAAACTAGCTGATCAAATGTTTGCATGGAGGACAAAAATCGCTATTGCTCCTATCCCCCCCCCCCCCCCTCTCTCCCGGCAGAGTACCCCGAGCTGCAGAGGAATCAAGAAGCGAGCCTCTCTCCTGATGTCCAAACTCTACTCTTTGGTATAACTCGGTCATCAAAAGCGTCGGGGCTACCCTGCGCATCCTGGCTGTGGGCTGACCTGAACATCGAGAAAGATCAACACGAGGCTGGGATGGACTTCCAGAGCAGGTTGCCAAGCGGCTTTCTGACACTATCAAACTTTCAATTTTTTCATTCATCGATTAAAACAAAATGTAATCGAATATAAAAGCATGCACATTGTTTGAAAATTAAAATATAGAAAAGTAACTCGCATGACTCATCAGATCCTGCTATCCACGAAAAAAGGATCTTGATGATCATGGAGTTACTTTCTATAATTTCTAATTTTCAAAGCAAATGTGCAAGGCTTTAAATATCGATTAGCATTTGTTTAAGGCGAATTGAATGAAACAAAATTGAAAGTTTGATAGTGTCAGAAAGCCGCTGGCACCTCGCTCTGCGAAGTCCATCCAGCTGCGTGGTTGATCTTCTTCGAATGTTGCAGGTCAAGCCCACAGGATGTCGCAAGTAGCCCCCGACGCTTTTGATGACGGGCGAGTTATAGCAAAGAGTATGAGTTTCGGACATCAGAGAGAGCTTTCTTCTGATACTCTGCAACGCTCGGGGTACGCCTGGGCCGGGAGAGAGGGGGGGATTAGGAGCAATAGCATTTTGTCCCGCTCCAATGCAAAACATTTGATCAGCTAGTTATCTTTAACTTAAGATTCTAGACGTCTAATGACTCAAATCACCAAAGATCTAAAACATGTTGCTTTAAAAGTGGTATAAAAAGTCATTTCGAAGGCTTCTGGCAGAGAACGCTGGCACCTTGAGCAGGAGAGGCAAGATGAAACTAGGACAGCATGCAAAAAAAAGAGAGAGGGGAAATGATTTCCAGATTTAAAAAAGTTGTAGCAGGAAAAAGGCCAGATACTTCTTCTAACTTTAACTGGTAAATATATGAGAAAAGGGAAATTAAATGGTTCTGAAATTTGTGAGCTTAATTTCATGAAATTATCAGAAAATAAAGAATTGTAAATGAGTAATTTTGGTGTCAAAATCAACATTTATTTCAGATTCCTTCGCCTGGTAATATTACCGCGCTGTCCCTTTAATAATGTATCTTCCTATCTCTTCATTGTACCATTTTCACATAGCCCATACGATTTTGTGTGAAATGATGTGACTTTAAGCATTAACATTCGGAAACATGTGGGATAAAGTGAGATCAAACTCACAAAGGTCTGAATCAGTGGCGAGCTGTGCGGTTGGGCCGGGTGTGCCTGGCCCCACCCACATGCACGTCGGGCCACCCCACAGCCAGATTCAGGCGCGTTAAGGCGCAGAGCTGGGAAGCCCCAGAAGTAAGTGCCACAAACTGCAGTTCCTCCTAAGTGGGCCAACAGGGGGATGGATACATAAGGAGCAATTCCCATAAGACCCCATGTTAAAATGCCCAACTTTACAGCATGAAATAACCATGTTTTATAGGACCAGGGATCCAATCAAAGTTATTCTGGATATAAGTTAGATTCCACCTTCATGACAATGGAATAGTGAAAGTGCATTTTTTTAACGTGAGTAAATTAGTAAAGTAAAAGTAAGTTTTGCTGTGAGTGAATTAAAGTAAAGTGAAAAGACTCTGCTCAAGTGTGTGCCCCACTGTGGCGACTGTCAAGGATAAACAACCCTGTGGCCGCCGAGCGCCAGTCATGTGTAGGGATGGGTACCGAGCCCCTGTATTAAACGGGCCCCAGGGCTGAATTATTAAAGACCGTGGTACCATTAAACTCCGACGTTATCGGTCGGTACTGGAGAGAGACATGTAAAACATATCTGTCATATGTATTATTGCTACACAAACATTATATTGCAGTTTTAGTGTCGCCAACTCCGTTTCTAATATGCAAAAAGACAGCAAAATGCGTCTATGATTATTTTTAGTATTTGAGATCTTTCCAATCCCCGCCTGCTTGCGAGGGGGCGGGGCAGTTTACACGCACGCAGCTGCTACATGCAGCAACACACACACACACGGAGGAGATGGCAGAGAGAACGCGCTCCGACGTGTGGTTAAACTTTACCCGTCTCGATGCTCGTTACCAAAAGTGCAATAAGAGTTTAGCATGTAAGGGCGCCGGTAACACGAGCAATTTGTCTAAACATTTAGCAAAAGTGCACCACATTCAAACGGAGAAATGCACCGGGTTTGACTGTCTTTCTGGTAGCGCTGTAGCCCCCCATCCACGAGTAACGTTTCCCCGTCAGGTGTTATGAATGCTAGCAGCGACACATGGAGTTAACTCAATTATACAAACATGGGTTGATGATTAGAGGTAACTGAGTTATTTATTTTGTTAAAGTTTCAGCTATTCTGTTTACAGTTCTATCCGATTATTTAATACGATGTATACGATTGTTGTTTCTTTTGATGTGAAATATTATGTATTAAATTTAAATAAAAAAGCAATGTTAGTTTTGTTCACAATTTGTTTAGTTAGTTTACCTTCTTTTTTTCTCCAAAAAAAACGATTTAAGCACCGGATCGATAAGCGGTATCGATAAATGTAGTAGTAGGCCTACCTTTAAAACCTTAACGATACCCATCCCTAGTCATGTGGATGTCAGTATAACACACATTCTGAGGCCGCCGTGCGTTTTTGTTTTCACTGCTAGTTTATGCTTATGTTCAATTAGTGCATTCAAAAATCATTAAAATCATTAATGAAGTTTGAGCTCAGACCCCACGCTTAATAAGTCTCCCCCTGGCCCACCTACATTTCTCCAGGCCCACCCACAATAATTCCTGGCTACGCCACTGCTCTGAGAGTGTGTTAGCGTGTACTGTACTCTATGTAACTGATGTGCCTGCTGTGTCCAGGTGTGTGTGATTTCATGCATGAGAACATTTAGTGGTCATATCAGCAAACTGCTTAAAGCCATATGGATGCGCTGGCATATCATCTGTATTATATTATTACCAGTTCACATGCAATATGCTCATGTGACTGATTGAGATGCATGTGCGCAATGTGTTCTACCACTTTTTTTATTTATTTTTGTATGCATCTTATACACTAAGCATTTAAAAGGTGCCGTAACAATGCAGTTTCCAAGCATGTAAACATTTCACATTTTGAATTTTTTACAATTCATTTACTCCACTCAGTACTTCATGTCTTGATTTGTTTGTCTTTATCCTTTTTGGTGTGAGTTAATAGGGTGAATCTGTGTTGTAATGTATGTATATCATTTAAATGTAAAAGGCTGTGTTGTATGTTGCTAAAAATGTAAATAAATATATTGTGGGATAAAAAAGGATGAATCCTGCCATTTCAATCTGTGTTATTGACATAAACTAACCTCCATCTGCGTCAGTGACGTCAGCCTCGGCCTGTTCAGATACAGCTGCTCCTCCAGGGTCTCGGAGGGGAAGAAGACCCCGCCGGGCAACGCAGCAGAGAAGCTGACATTCAGGATCCCTCCCGGCGCCGCGTCCAGGTCCGGCTGGATGTTGAAGATAAAAACATCCTCGACGGGCACAGAGAGCACTGCTGACACGCCCTCCAGGAAGTTACCAAGCAGTGGTGACAGGAAGTGCTCCTGGGACATGTTCTGCAGACGGACGGTGACACTGCTGCCCAGCATGTCTTCTGTGATGATGAGGACGCGGAGAACGCACTGGGCTGAAATGCTGTAGACGCCATCTGAAGAGTTAAAAAAAGACAATCGAGGAAAAGGTTGAATAAATGTGCTTCTGAGGATGGACAAAAGGGTTAGGAAGTGAAGAAGCATTAAGATAAAGTGATAAAGAAATATGTTGGAGAGGTTTTAGAGACTGTAAAGTGGTTTAAAATTGTGCAGGACAATGATACAAGATATGTAACTGTAAGACTCCATGCACATTGACATCTACACACGTACAAATATTGTGAAAATAAAAGAGAAAAATAGACCCAGGCTTGTTTTTATAACTGCTAAGTCTTTTTACAGTAAATGCTGAAGAAAACAATTTCACACTGGAGGCTATTCAAGTGGCAACACAGTTGAAGTAGGCCACCTCCAGAGAACAGAAACAAATACACACACACACACACACACACACACTTGTTTTCATTCAAACTTATGTTAATAGCACTCAAAAGAAATGTACTGTTATTCAGTGAGATATTGTATTAAGTGAAAGAGGGAGTGAAGCTAACGATTGAAACTGCCGCTAAGCTGATGTTTAAATAATTTGATGGGGAAATACATTTGCTCTGGGTTATTAACACATATTATGTAAGCTTGTATCTGCTGTGAGTGAACTGCAACCGTGCTAGCAGCCAGACCATAATATGAGTTGTGTAGTCATGCATATTGTTATGTAATAATGAGGCTTATATAGTTTCACATGGCAAACAGGTCAAAAAGGCACCAAATTTGGCACTTGAGGTCAATTTCGGCATTATTATTATGGTTTGGGAAATATGGTGTTTTTTATGGTTTTGGTTTTTATTTAAAAACTGACTAACATTTAAGACCCTCTCATTTCGTTAGATTAACTGGGTTGAGTGGTCACCTTAAACTTATGATGATCATTGTGACCTACATCAGAAAAACACATGTTTTAGATGCTCACATCCACTTACGCTGTGATTTAATTAAACCTTACCCACACCACAATATCTTTCATGAGGCCAAGAAGTATATGTTTCTATGAATTCAGTCATCTGCACACAGCCAATTATCCAGAAGACTTTCTTAAATGGTTGTTGGATGAGACATGTATGGTATAAGACAGCTTAGCCCTTTTCTGAAATCCACCTCACCATTGTTCGCAAGATAATGCAATTCTATAATCTTATTTTCCAGTAAGAGAGACAAAACGGATCCTCTGAAATCTACATTTGTTTGCGAGCCAGGAAGTCTGTTTTATGCCTTTTGCATTTGATTGAACAAACCACACAAAGACAGAGAGAGAGGGGAGTGCCCCTCCTCATGTCTCCTTACACTCAGCTTTGGTTACAAATTCAACACAGCGCTCCTTTTTCTCTGAAACCTGTGACTTGTACAAAATGAGCTAATACGAATCACAGCAGGTCACAACCCTCACAAACAGAACAATATCTGTAACAAAGACACACACAAGGCATGTTTCTTCTACACTGGATACAAACACAATCCGCTGCTAGGCTGTATTTTATGGCCGTATAAAGCAATTTGGTGCGACAACCTGGCTAATAAGCTATAAAAGAAACAAATGAACATGACCAGACAGCCATGAGAGGGCAATTCTCTGCAGCAGCGCTGAGGAGGTGAAACAGGGTGACCGGTTGATAAGACTGAGAGCATGAAAGAGGAAGAAAACAGAACATGAGGGGACTTGAAGTAAAAAGGGCATGATTAATCAGAAAAATAAAGTATTAAGAAATAAAAGGGCGTGTCAGTGGAGGATGGAGAGTGAGGGGGGGGGAAAGACGGACAGAGGCGATGGAGGGTGAAAGATATTTTTTTAAAACTATAAGAAGCAAAATATGAGGTACAAGAGAAGAAACATGAGGAAGAGAATGAGGGCCTTTATTTAAGAATGACAAAGAGGGAGCCTATTTGGTCGGTTTTGGCGCAGTGGTTAGAGCGTTTGTCATCAGATCAAGGGGCGTTGGTGAACTCCAGTTCGAATCCCGCCTCGGCCACTGTGTCCTTGGGCAAGACACTTTACCCGCATTTGCTCCTGTGGGTATTGTCCACAGTAATGACTCTTACATGTCTAATATGTGTAATGTGTATTTGTAAAGCGCTTTGAGCACCTGTAAAAGCGCTCTAATAACAAATGTAATCCATTATTATTATTATTATTATTATTATATAAGGAACACAACATCTACTGTATAATAATGTACTTTTTATGTATTACTGTAAATAATAATAATAATAGATTTAATTTGTTAGCGCTTTTACAGGTGCTCAAAGACGCTTTACAGATAATAGTGAAGAGAAAAGAAAAGAGAAGAAAGGAACAACAAATAAATATATAGTTAAAGTTAAAGTCAAATAATACAAAAACAATCACACATGAAAAGCCAGATTGAAGAGGTGAGTTTTTGTGAGTTTTTCGAAGGTGGTGAGGTCAGTGCAGTCTCTGATGGGTTGTGGGAGTGAGTTCCAGAGGGAGGGGGCAGCGACGGAGAAGGCTCTGTCCCCCCAGGTCCGGTGATTGGTGCGGGTGGGGATGGATAGGAGGTTGGCTTCTGATGAGCGGAGGCAGCGGGAAGGGGTGTGGTGGTGCAGCAGGTCTGTGAGGTAGGGGGGNACACACACACACACACACACACACACACACACTATCTCTCTCACAAACAGACACACACTCTCTCACACACACACACACACACACACACACACACACACACACACACACACACACACACACACACACACACACACACACACACACACACACACACACTAAAATCCAGAGCCCTTCATAATAAATGACAGAGGAAGGAGAAGCAATATGAAGGAGGGAAACTCCCACATAAAATCATCAGGGAACATTTTAATAGAATAATTTGTAAAATTAGATAGATGAACAGAAATGGATAGATGGATTAGTCAACATAATGCAGCATGTCCTACTTTAAAATAATGTTCAGTATTAGGTGAAGTAATTCAATGTCACAGCATCTTCTGAGGTTAAAAGCCAGCTGTTTTATCAGCTCTCTGGATCAAGATGCAAAGACGCAGTGGTAATTGACGCTGATCTCCCATTGTCATTTAAATGAAACAGGAATCTATGAAAAGACCTGCGATTATCTGCTGGAATAGGACCCAATCTCTACACACACACACAACCACACACACAAATATTCCCTCTATTTCTGTACACTGAAATACAGCCGTCAACGACACAAAGCAGATACAAAGCTAGATGTAGATTAGCTTAGCATAAAGACAGGAAACAGGGGTAACTAAGCAGAAAGTCTGACAGCATGCAATTAAAAAAGTTTTTTTAATGTTTCTATGCTAAGCTAACTGTCTTTTGGCTATAGGTCCGTATAAAGTACAGTATTATTGCACATTAAATATTCAATCTTTGCGTGAATTGTCTGCCTTTCAAAGACATTATGACCCTACCAATATTCTCTTTTACAAAAACATAATGCGCACAAAATAGAAGTAACACTACTGAAACATTACCACTTGTTGTGTCCTATGGCTGTATTTATATTGATGATATTGGCAAAAGGATACACTCAATTTGTACCCATATGTTTTATGTCACGAGGATGAAAAAGCACTTACTCGCTTTTATTCCAATTAATGGAGGATGTTTCTGTTTTTCTCTTCTTTGCCTCCAAACAATTCATCTGCACTATGGTTGTTTATTCCTTTGTTGTCACGCTGCTTTGTGTGCAATTGCCATGTTGGCTTCCTGCAGACTGTGTGCTTAACTGTTTTCCGATAAGAAAAAGAAAAACACTACAATTTCCTCTGCCAGAGACACTGAAAACAAATCCCTTTGAGTTTCAGGCTCCCATGAACCCCCTTGAGTTGCCCACGGGGGACAACAGTAAGAGGAATATATGACAACGCTACAGAACATGTAACTGAAGCTAAAATGAAAAACGCTACTAAATATTAGTGGCTGTTTACCCTGACAGTTTTTAACTTCACTTTATCAGCCTTCAGAGGCCATTACAAGCAGCCATTACATTCTGACAGTAAATCTGGTGCACAAGCACACACACACACACACACACACACACACACACACACACACACACACACACACACACACACACACACACACACACACACACACACACAAACATACGCAGTAAAATATCTTAATTTGGCTTCCCTTCGTGTCTCCACTCCAGCTAATTTGGACGACCTACATCAGCACAGGGCTCTTAAATCATCCTACCACATGTGCAACCAATGGAGAGAACAACTATTCAAGCTAAATGGCAATTTTGGCAATTAGACACACAAAACGCTGTCTACTTTCTGCCCGTGGGTCACTAACTCACCTCCTTTTCTGCATTCAGCTTTAAATTGACACAGGAACATGCCCTTATAAGCTAATTACAGTTCTGCTGGAAACACAAAAGCCATAACCCATTAGTCTGCAGAAACATAAAGGCCATTTCCCAATTTTCTGCAAGGTATGATTCTCCCTTTTTTGGTACAAGTTAGACAACTGAGGATTGTGCTACAGCATGGGAATCTCACAACAAATCTGGTATAAGAAAAAGCCTAATTATAATGTTTCCTGCTGGTTTAAAAAGCACACGTTTTTCCAAAAGCACAATAGGGAAAAGGTTCTAAAAAAGGAAGCGTTTGAAACGTAATGCAGGGATTCCTTACTTTCTCTGAAGTTTGACTTTAATGTTCAAATTAAATAAAGTTATTGTGCTTTAGATACATGAGGAATATCATTGTGAGATCAGGTGACCTTTACTGTAGTTTTTGTATCAGATTCTCGTCCGTTACTAAAAAACCATCTGACAGTGTTGCACCCAAAAAAAAGCATTATCAGCTAACAAATACACATCATGGCACTCTCTGGCCCTTTGGACAACATTTTGAACAAACAGGGCCAATAAACACTAGCCCGTAATGGTCACACGCATGTATAACTATTAAAAGTATCTAAAATGATTAATTAATTGAAGAAATTCTTACGTGGTAACTGAATGAATGAAAACCCTTAATCAGAAAC